AAGGAAAGGGCTCCTTGCCAGCCCCGTGTGCTGGCTCTGCCCTTCAGCGAGCGGTGCCTCTGTCCCTCTGCTCTCTCCTTTCAGGCTCTGCATATTCCCAGACACCCCTCTGACACCCAGCACCCCATAAGGATGACACCTTCACAGCTACCTTGCCATCTCAGAAACTTTGATGCTCTCTTGTTGAATATTTTCTATAGGATAAAGAAAATATCAGACCCCCTAAACAAGCTCCTCAACCAACTAAATGCTCAAACTGTTAGGAAACTTCAAACCCAGCTGTTGAGGGTTCAATACCAACCTTAACTCTGGTCTCACATTCCTGTAAATTTTACAGCAGAATGTAGATCCCTCCAAGCACATCCCATGACCTCCTTGCTGTACAGATGAATTCCAACAGCTCCTCTTTACATGCCCCCACTTCCTGCCCACACTTAGTATAAAAGTTTTCTAATGATTCTTTTGTTACACTGGATGGGAAAAAAAAAAAGAAAAAGTGTTTTCTTAGCTGAAAATTACTAACTTAGGTTAAAATACAGTATATGTTGAGGTAGTAGATGGCAGTCCTTTCTGGAATTTCCACTGGGTCTGTCTGAAGCAGCAAACCTGAGCTGCATTGTCTTCATTGCTATTTTAACCTCTGCTAGCAAGCCTGGGCCAACCACCCACATTTAGAGACAGCCTTTATTTGCAATATAAACAATACCCATGTCACGATGGATAAAGGGCAGATCAGTGGGGTTTCATATGGAAAAAGACAACTGCTTTTGCCAGCCTCTGATTCCTAATAACCACATGTCTTTTATTAGTGTCCTAAACGAGGAGCTGGGCTGTGTCTTGGGGGGGATTAATGACTGACCAGAGAAAAGGAGCTGAAGGGAAGGAGGATTCTGGTTACCTGTGCTCTCAGCTCAGCAGGGAGTCCCCTGAGCACTAGAGAGAGAAGCTCCACTTTCATCTACATGAAGAGAAACCACAAGTAAAGGTCCCTTTCAGGAGGGATAAGGGGTCTCCTGGAGAGCACTGAAGGAACAGACTGGGAGGGAGAGAACGTCAGATCACAGAGGGGGTTGGTGCAATGACTCGCTTCTCAAACACAGAGTGAACAATCTTCTGCTTAATCTAAATACAAGTGATGAGTTGTAGGAGTGGTGAAAATGGCAAATAAAATCTAGGAAATTGCATATAAAGAGGAATCGTCGTTATTAAATCATTTAGGATGGATGTGTTTCAAATCTAGCTCACAGCTGAAGCTGTTTTACAGCTCTAGCTGTGGAGTTTTAACAAAATTGCAGAATTGCAACGTGTCTGCCAGGGATTTATTTTAAGGATTGCAGGGTAGTTACATGAATGAACCTTAATAGACTCAACATGTTGTTGTGATCTGAACTCCTCAGTGATCTCCACTGCAGTTTATGTGCACAGGAACCAACAACACGAGTGCATTTGTGTGCACGTGTGCAGACACTCCAGATGGAAATGGGGCACACACACGTGCAGGGCTCTTCCCAGCTCCACACAGGCTCCCTACAGACTGCTCCTGCAGGACAATGACAGCATTTCTCAACCTTAGCCTCACAGTGTTCCTTTTCTCTTATCCCCAGAGGTCTCCTGTTTCCTCTGATCTGCCTCCTGTCTGTATTAGAAAGGAAAGACTACACTGCCCAGCACACTCCTGGTACTTGATCTCACTCCAGGCTTTGGGTGCTAATCCCACCGCCTCTTGTCTCTCCTGCTGGTGCCTGTGGGTGTGGGGGTGTCTGTACAGACACGCACTTCTCCTTCCACTGGCTGCCTTCCCTGACCTGCTCTGGACAGAAGGGAACAGGATTCTGGCTCAAACTGGCTCCATAGCTCAGCTGCTAACATCAGCTCCCTCTCTTTTCTCCAGAAACTATATATTGCATTTCTACTTTAAGCACATCAGCTGTCAATCTAGCAGTCCAAAGATCCTCATTTCCAGGTGCTCCCATTCTCCTCACTGTGGGAGGGAATTCTCTACTGGAATTTGCCTGTTGAAGCACTGAGAAGGGGAAATTATTTTTTAAATGTTGTCTTTTTTTTTCTTTGCCTACTTCCAGCAGATAGTTGGAGCATTTAAAAAAATTCATCCTGGGCATAAATATTGAGCACTTTTGAAAATACTGGCTCTAAATTTGTGGAGATCAAACTTCTCTAAAAGCCTCAATGATTTTAGAAATGCTGTTAATTTCTCAGCTCTGGAGAGCAGAGCATGTGCTAACACTCACTTGATGGCCTCAACAATTCTCCTTGACTGCAGGGATAAGCCACAGAGCAGAATGCTCTTGATGGTCCATGAGAAGGGCAGCATGCCCTTATGAACACAAAAATGATTACCACTTCTGCTTCTGGAAAGATCTCTAATTCATCAGTAATGTTTCAATGGAATAATGGCCACAAACCCTAGCAGCAATTAGAGAAATATTATTTGGGGTTTTTTTATTTAATGCAAAGGCACAAGCTTTTTCATGAACAGAAGGAGATGATGTGCTGTCAGGACAAGGGGGAAATGGAGGGAAGGATTTTGAGATCTGCTCTCCTCTCCTCTGTTTCTCTGGAACATTTGCCCTTTCTGCCCGTGGTTCCACTGTGGGAGCCATATGGCTTCCAACACTCCTCTAAGTAGCCACTGAGAATTGTCTGCAGTGGAACAGTGCCAAAGCCCTTCCTGGTTTAATGACATGGGGAAGAGCACTGTGCAGTGCTCACCAGCACAGGGCTCACACGTCCTTGATGCTGATCCTGGAGCCAGCAAGTGATGCTGGGAATTGAACCCTCAGTGCCTCAAACGCAGAAGTCGACATGTGCCAACCCCTGCTGCATTCAGCCTCTGTGCGTGGCATATTAATGAGACCTGAACTTGAGGTCCAACCTTCAAGCTTGCACAGAAGGAATTACCCAAAGACAAACAAAAAAAGTTCCTCTCTTCATCCTGTTTCCTTCTAAACTTGCACAGTGTTACCAGTTTCTTCACTCAGTTTGTCCAACCCTTAAGAAGTAACTTTTTTTTAGGCCATCACATCTTACTTCTGCAGATATAACCATAATTTCCCTTTATTTAAAGATCTGAAAAATTTGTTTAAAAGGTACTCTAATGAAACACATGAAGCCAAGAGGGTAGAGGAGGGGACAGATGACTCACTCTCATACCTTATCCATAAATACCTGCTAAATTTCAGAGTCAGGATATGGAGCTAGAAGAAGCGAGAAGCTTTCTTCTGCCTGCAGGAATATGTGGTACCAGTCCCAGACCAAATGGAAAAGAGGAGGGTGCTCATCCTGGAGGCTGCATTCCCACATTCACACACCAGCACAAAGGGGCATTGCTGGGGACCCTCTCAGTGCCTCAGAAGCCAAAAAGGAGCCCAATTCCTGTTGCACCACAACCCCTGGCCACATAACTCAATTTGAAATTGCCCAGTTTTATTTTACTTGAATTTCAGGATTTAAATAAAATCTGTGGCCATCTAGTAGCCAGCTGGAATGTTGGGTTTAGGGAAGTTTTGCAGCAGTTCTTTCGGGCCTTGCAAATGCCTGGTGCAAAATGAAGGCTGGCTTCTTATTTTCTGAGAAACTATTTTTCTCCAGAAGCACATTTGGCAGGAGAGGCAGGATAGAGGTGAAAAAAAAAAGCCCCTACAGAAGGATGCTCTCTTTCTTTGGAAAGGGTTGCACCTCTGGAGTGAAATTTGACAAGCCATGAAAGCTGTGTCCTGCTGCAAGTCTGTCCAAATGTTAGGGAAAGGGACAGCTTGCAGAGGGTGAACAGAGCCAATGGTAAATGTAACTCTCCAGGACAGCATGTTTCTCTGGTGGGAAGAGGGAAGGACAACACATCAGTGACCCCAAAACCACAGACTGCAGCCTTCCTAGGCAAAGATAAAAGACAGAACAAGCCTGTAAAAAAAGTCACATACTGACTTTTACTTCTTTCAAGGAATTAAACAAATTAAGTTCCAGTGTTCAGGAAATCTTCTCACCTTTCAAACACTTTAGAAATGTAACTAGTCAAAGCCTACAACAATCCCTGATGAAAACCTGTGGAGCTACAGAAGAAAGGTCACAAGTATTGCCCAGTCACAAAGGCTGTACTGGATGAACATTAACTGAACAATTCATTTGTCTCTGTCTCAGGTCTGCAAATTCACATTTTCTTTTCCACAGGGAGTGTTCTGACTCCCCAGCTCACTCAGTGACAGCAGATAAAACACGTGGTGGCAGCTGGCCACAGTGACTCCAGATCATCAGCATTGCTCAGAGCTCCTGTGGACACCAGCAACACTTAAATCCCCCACCTCTTACTCCAGTATAGCACAAAATTCACTGCAAATTCTTGCAAGGTAGCAAAACCAGATCTGAATGCAATCCTAATGTTTTCCCAGTACAAGAAACCTATCTGAACAATGCTGTCTTTCCCCCACCTTTTACTTGACAGAAATCAACAAAAAACCTCACTAATTTTCATGGCAACAAACATCACTTCAGTACACAATGCTCTAATTAAATCAGCAATCCTGAAATAAAACAGTATATAATCATTATTACCCTAAACCAATACATGCAGTAGCAATGGAGTCACATCCAATTAACTTGATTTTATCAATGGTGAAGTTCTCAAAATTATGCTGGCAAAGTGCTACTGATACCAAAACCAAAAAGCATCATTATTCCATGAAAACACTGCTCAGGTCCCAAAATGGTAACCAAAAAAGATGTTCATTGTTACATATTTTAGGACATAGAGAAAGATTTGTGTTTAAGAAAGGCAAGAGCTGTTTGAGTTAGCTGTGACTAAGATAACAGAGTTCTCCTAAGACTCCAGTTGCTGGTTGGGCTTTCTTGGTCATGCCTCTGTTTCAGCTTATCTGGGTTGGGTACCAAACCAGGACCATCATATTCACAGAGCCTTGCACTTTCAGCCAGAAACATGCAGCAACCATCTTTAGCATATTTAACAGAACAATAAACTTTGTGCTGACCTTTGGCAAGCGTTCGGGGTCACCGGGGTGCCGGGGGATAACCTTCTGTAACCTTTGGAAACCATAGTCAATGGTGGGTTCGTTCAGAGCTGAAACAAAACAAACAACAGCGTGAGGTGACAAAGACAGAGCAGGGGCTCAGGTGACAACAGGCAAAGGCACCACGAGACCACAGCAGGACCACAGAAAAACCCACTTTGAGCTCAGCAGTGACTCAAGTCTTGGTCAAAACACTGCTTGAGGTTGGTCCTTTGACTTCCACCCAAACTTTCCCACTTCAGCTCCTCCAGCAAAGCTGCTGGAAGATTTGGGGATGTTGCATACATCTTCCAAACAGGAAGCAATTATTGTCTCTGAAAGTCTCAGTGTGATAAATACTTTACACCCTATGTTTCGTGTTGGGTTTTTCATATTACGAGGAAGGTGATTGGAAGGCAAAGGTAGTTCCTCTCCCAGTGCCTTTCTTCTTCCAAATTTCATTATACTTTTAATATGCTCCATGTGCAACATCCACAAATAATTTTGTTGTGAAATACAGGCAATTGTCTTGGCAGAGGTTTTATTTGTTACTCATTGACACTGACTTCAGCAGCTTAGGCTCTAATCAGCACTAAACTGACCTAGAAAACTTAATCATTAAAAAAAAATACATCAATGTTTTTAGTTCATCTTTCCCTAGTCCTTGTCTGATAAAATGGAGGTGAGAAATGGTGAAAGTGGAACACTTTAATCTTCATGAAAATGCTGGTCTGTCTGCATTAATGGAAGCTCTGATTGTGTCAAGCCTTTAAGCACATGCTTATCTGTAAGCACATACTTAAACCCATTTGCTTTCAGCAAAGCAAATTTGAGCATATTATGTTTTTTATATGATTGCCTATAATTACAGGGGACTGCACTGAATGACCTTCTAGCTATATTTCCAGTCATATGATCACTTTAAAACTCAGATGTTAGTGAGACTTCAACATGTGCTTAGAATTTCCTAAGTGCTTTGGTGAACTGGAACAGTCAAGTATTCTCAAGCATCTCTAAACAACAGCACATCTTGACTCTCCCATGCCAATAGAGATGTGGAAATATTCCACAGCAATTTGTTTGAATTTTTTGAGTTAAATGGAAAAAAAAAATCAATTTGAATGTGGATTTTCATATTTTCAACCTTTGTTTTTGGTGAAGGAAAAAAAGTCTATCTTTTTAAAGTTTTGAGTAATTTTAACGTTTTTCTTCTCTTGTCTTAGCTTATTAATAGCAAAAAAATATGTCTTGCACAAAGTCTTACTAATTTATGAATATATCATATTTTTGTGAGGATCTTATTATGAACTCTTTTTATGCAGCTAGAATGATGATATTTGAACACTGCAAAAAGATTGAGCATTAAACTCCATCTCTCAGCCTCAACATGGCATAACCTGTCCACATTTCCATGTTTTAAGTGAACATTTTTCGATACTCCTAAAGATCTTCACGTTATCATGAAACCGGTATCTAATCCCTGGATTGTTTGTAATTAATTAGCATTCCATCACAAGCCACAGAACAATTCCTTTAAATTACTGTTACTTTCAAACCACATTTCCACAGCACATGGTCCAGCTGGCAAGCAAAGGGTCAGATTTCCATCTCCTCCTGGACCTTTGGCACATCCCACCTCCATGAGCAAATCCAGCAATGCTGCTGCAGCCTGAGGCAGAGGAAGGTGATGCTGAGAGATGCAGGCTGACCCAACATGGTGAAACACAAACGTGGGGCTGATGGGACTGCCTGGAGAGGCACATGTCCAGCAGGACCTCAGCATTCCTCCAACATCAGAAAGGAACCTTCTGACCATATCCTGAAATTAGTCTTGAGGTATTTTGGTAACACCAGACTGGAAATCCTTCAGGATTTTACTTTCTGGGCTTTTCACTACCCCAGAGGTCATGATAGCACTCCAGTTTCCTTGTTTGTTTGGGGTTTTTCAGGTATTTCCTTTCATCGCGAATATCTGAATGTGATCTTTTATTTCTATTCAGGTCATTATATAGACAATATTATGGCAACACCAGACTAGAAATCCTTCAGGATTTTACTTTCTGAGCTTTTCACTACTCCAGAGGTCATGATAGCCCTCCAGTCCCCTTGTTTGTTTGGGTTTTTTTTAGGTATTTCCTTTCATCGGGAATATCTGAATGTGATCTTTTATTTCTATTCAGGTCATTATATAGAAGGAGTGAGCATAAGGATTTTCCCTTGCTTTGGCCCCTTTCAATGTTGGGATGGTTTGGCCTCTTTTTCCAACATTTTCTTTCACACCCTGGCCCACACTGACCCTTCTGCAATGTAGTTTTGCAGAAAATATCACAATACCTTTATTTGGAACCCCCTGGTTTCCTTACCTCTGAGTTTACTTACAAGACTTCTTAGTTTAAACCTTTTTCAAATAAATTAATTTATTGCTATTTATATTTTTTATCAAAAATATCTGTTCTCTGAGAAGATTAAAAAAAAACCAAAAAACCCTACAGTTCAAATTTAAATTTCTTTTGCAAATACATTCAAAGATTTTACTGTGGTTCTGCCAAATGTGTTTCTCCTCTAATTCAGTCTAGTTTATGGCCATTTTCCCTCTAGATCCTTTGGGAAAGTAGTTACTAAATTCTGCAATGTTATAAATGGAGGCCAGTTCTGAAATCCCCCCAGAGTTAGCAGTCATTTTCTCATATCTTCCTACACATTCAACACATTTGAAATCCACAGAGTATTTCCTCTGAGTATTTTCTGAACTAAATGGCCAAAAAAAAATGTTAATTTTATGGTCCAATCTCAGAAGGCATCAAGCATACTCTGAGAGATAGTGAAAACTTTCTGCTTCAAACAGCTTCAGCTTTACTTTAGTGGTGGGGAGAGGCTGCACACAGCAATCTGCAGGATTGGGTCCTAAACTGCTATTGTTAAATACCACTCATTGGTCTACAACCCCTCAACCTTTCAATCTTATATAAATTTTTAAAAAATAAAATAAAAATAATAATAAAGGATCTTTAGCTGCCTGGACATCTGACAACAGATTGGACAATTTCAGCCCTCCATTCCTTGTTCATTTACGACCCAAATGTAATTAATCATCTCTCAATGAAAGAGATCTGTTCACGTATTTAACCCCACCCTCAGCATTAAACCAGACCAGTTATGTGTCAGGAGGTGGAAAAACTCCAAAAAAAGGGAATATTCTCATCTCCAAACACTGCAGAAGAGCTGCTACAAGGTCAGACAGCACCTCCCTGCAAGGCTTTCCCCTGCCCCAGGACACATGGCTGCTGAAGCCCATCCACAATAAGGCATTTCCCAGTCCTTTAATTCAAATAACAGTTTTCTTTCCATGATTGGAAAAAAAAAAATCAATCAGAAATACAAACTCTCTATTTATGTTCTTGACATAGTACATTAAAAACAAGCTAACACATATGGTACTTAAAATGCATTCCCATTACCTTATATTTTAAAAGCACCATTGAAAGTACTACTAACTTTAAAAAACTGTACTAAATTCAAATAGGTCCCAAGGCTAATGGAAGCAATTTGTATACCAACCCAAACTGACTGGCCCACTTTTCAAAATACAGGTATGATAATCTTGTGGTTTTAAAAGGACATTTAAATTGAAAGACTGTGAATTTAGTACATAATTATACCAATAGAACCCTTTAACTTGTCAACTTGTAAATCTAAAAGGCTATCAATCATTTCTAAAGAGGAAATAAACCTTAAAATTCTTTGATTGACAGTGCTTATTTTTTATGTGGAAAAAAAAAAAAAAGGAGTAAAGTGGCCAGAAATCCATTTACAAAAGTACATTGTTTTACATAGGTGAGTAAAAAGCCAATAATTACACCTCCAAAAGACATATAAATCAAGGTAAGTACTTTTCCCTCACTTACATATTTTAAGTTGCAGTAAACTTCAGGTAACTTTTTATTAAAATACTTTTCCAAATGCAAAGCTTATTGAAGCCATTAATAGAGTAGCATTTTCATTTAAGCTAATATAATCATTTTTGCAAATACAAGATTTAAGCCATTTTTCTCCTTCCAAACAATAAACTTTCAGCCTGTCTCTTGTGTGAATTAACTAAAATTACACCCAGGTGTACAAAATCTGTCTATCTATCCTAGTGTATGAGTTAAGGCACAATATTTATTATTCTTACCATTTTATGAATTACTTCTTAAACCCTTGAGGAAGAACTTTCTTTCAAATTAGACTCTAACAGAATAAGCCATGAAGCTCTTTATGCAGTAAGTCTAAAGCCATAACTCATAAAATCTAAGGCTTTTAATCAAGAAAATGCACAATGTCTGTAGAAATAGGGATGTGTACATTATAGTCACCTTTTCAAAGTCCAACTTATGCTCTTAACAAAAATGCTGCTCATGCCTCTGAGAAAAAATGTTTCCATCATAACCATGATTTCAAATTCTCCACAAATAATTTTAATAACCACATGCAGATAATCCACCATCTTTAAAAGTCTCTTTTTTTAAACTAGTCAGTGGAGGGCTTTTTTTAATATTTCACATAATGAATTCCTACTGTGTCAATAAAGCTTTGGTTGTTAATTGAATGACTGTCTGATGTATCTGAGAGAGGAATTTGTTTCTCTGGCCATGCTGCCAACTCCCAGCAGAATGATAGACACTTAATATCAGCAATTAAAAGGACCTGTTCAAATATCATATGGAATTCGTAGCTTGGGGTAGTGTAGGAGAGCTCTTCACCAAGGAAAACTCATTCAGCAAATGCAGAGAGTAATTGAATTAGACACATTTTAACATTATTATTCAAAGAAAAATAAACACACACTACATAGAAGCATTATGGAAATATTTCAGAATGTAAAACATATCCAGTTAATTTGTTTCCCATGCATTCATGGTTTCATTTATTCCTTTTATTTTTCAGCCCTTGTTTCTTTTTCATTCTGTTTGACCCAAAACCAATGAGAAAGCAGCACTTAGACCTATGAACTTCCCATATGCTTTTCCAGTGGAAGAGGCTGCAAGGAGAGGGAAGGGACCCTGAAGGCTCAAATAACCCAAAAAAAAGG